AATTTCTGCGGTCTCGAATCATATCGAAACAGAAATAATCAAACAGAAGAGCAACTTGAAAATTATAGGGAAACACATCGAATCAGAGAAAGATTACGTACAGGAAGATAAACAGTTTTTTATGTAAAAAAAACTATATTACATATAAATGTACGAACAAATAAAAACCCAGCGAAGCGGGTACTTGCAGCTAGTTACAAATAAAACTTGTAAGTAAATTCTATACGTCAAACGAAGATTATTCTGAACGCTAAAAGAATTTACTGTATTCATTAAATTTTAAATAATAAATATCTGTTGGAATGTAATTGTTGTGTAATAAGTATGTCAACGATTAATTATTTCTTCATTTTTAAATAGTTTTTTTAATTTAATTTTTTAGATGGATCAATTATAAATACAGGACGCATCTTAGTAATAAATCATTACAAAATATACGCAATAAATTAAAAAAGTTAAAGTTGAAACGACAAATACATTCGTAGAAAAGATTTTGCTGAATTTCATTACTACATTATTTTAGTTTTGTCAAAATTACGTACATTTATTCACAAAACCGACGTCACTTTAATCAAATTAGCGTAAAAGCAATCACGTGTATGACAATGCCAATATACTTAATTTTCTTATATTATTTTAACAATAAATTGTCATTTACAATTTTTTTTATAAAACCCACCTCTACCCTCATAATTAGGCTTTTTATCCATTTTTATAACAGTTACGTGTATAAAAAATGCGATAACAGATGGCAGCACCGATATTTTAAAGATTTCCGGAAATGTTGAGCAACTCGTTGCTGGTTTATTTAATTAATAAATGTCTTCGTGTTGTCAGAATTGAGTACATTTTTATAAAGAATCGAACACAATTACGACAACTCAAATTTGTCCGATTTTCCTACTCGCTTACCTTACCTTATACAATCAAATTTTTTATCGAATTTCTAATATATTCATTATATTTATAAAAGATTTTCGAAGATGTTCTACTGAAAAATCCGGAAATTACGGATAAAGTTAAATGCATCGAAGGGGACCTCACTCGTGAGAACTTAGGAATTTCCTCGTGTCATATGAATTTGATAATGAAGAATGTTTCGGTGGTGTTTCACTTGGCCGCTTCGGTTAAATTCGGTGAATCTTTTCGGTAAGTTTTACTCTAATTAAGCACATTATTTTGTGACTTGCCCATTTATTTTAATTTATTTTGCAGAGATTCGTTCGTCAATAACGTAGAAACGACAAAAAATGTGGTAGAAGTTTGTCGTCAAATGAAAAATTTAGTGGTAAATATTTGGTAATAATTTGATTGCAGCTAAGTTCTTAACGTGCACGACATTGAATTTAGCACAGAACTTTTTCGTATTTATAGTTTAATTTTCATTTCTAAATCAAATCAGCTTAAATACTTCGTATGTTTTGCGTTTTTCGCTGAAATAACACAAAATATTTTTCTATGTCTTTGTAATGTTCACCGATTTCGATTACAATTTCTTATTAATAATTAAAAATAATTTTAAAAATGCTATATCGTTAGAATAAAACATTATTTTCAATACTCATTCCACTTATTGTTTAGTATAAATTTTCTTGGGGATTATTGAATAAATTAAATATAATTTCAGGCATTCGTACACGCATCTACCGCTTATTCTTTCTGCGACAGAAAGGAAGTGGATGAAAAAATCTATACAATGGCCAGAAGTTACGAGGAATTTAAGAACATTGCAAAGTACTATATTATGACATTATAAATGCAATATTTTTGCAATTTAATTTTTTAAGTTTTTCAATACGTTCGTCGTGTTGATATTTTTCTAATTGTAGTGTAGAGAATTATGCTTCGGTACAAATAACAGAAGAAAATCTTTTGGAAAATCGACCCAGTACTTATCATTTAACAAAGGCCATAACAGAAAATTATTTAAATAATTTCTGTAGAGATTTGCCTATAATCATTGTAAGACCTTCTATTGTTGGTTGCACTTGGAAGGAACCTTTTTCCGTGAGTATTTCTATTCTACCACAAAATACAATCATTATACGTTTGTGTGTAATTAGTACAAATTTGTTTTCTTTTTAGGGATGGAACGATGGCAATAGTGGAACAGATTACGTAGCCGCAATTGTAAGTGTATATAAATATTTCTGGGAATGAAGGAAGGATTAGCTATTTTTGAACTTAAATATCGAAAATTTATCTAGATATACAGATAAATCCTTCAGAGAACATTTTTATCCGAGTAATACCATTTACAGTACTAAATATACAATAGGTGTATTAGTAAATTGTTGTATTTCTACGTTCCTCTTATTCTTCTAATGTTCGCTTTTCAATTTAACTCTGTCTAATCACACTGACTGAAAAAAAAAACCACATTTACGTTTATGAATCAGGAATTATAGTTAGAAGTTAACCAATTACCATTTACTTAAAATGTTATTAAGTGGATTCTTATGAGTTAGCTTCTAATTCTAATTCTGTATTTTTGAATCTTTATGTTCCGATGGTTTTTTTACAAGTAGAATTAAATTCTTCTTCTTCTTTAAAAACATATTTTAGTTTCTAATAAAGGTAAATATTGCAATAAGCATATTTTATTTCACAAAAATTTAATCCGTGTGACACGATTAATGTCGGGTACTCGAAACAGTGTTCGGTTCTACTTTCAGGGATTGAAAGGAATACTTCGAAGCATGTTGTGTGACGAAGCGAAAGTTTTTGATTTCGTTCCATCGGATGCAGTGGTTAATTTGATGTTGGCTGCTGCTTGGAGAAAGTCAGTAATGCCTCGTCGAAGGTAAGGTTTTATGAAAATTTCAATAAATTAAGAAAGGCATCGTCGTTACAAAGCTTCCTCATTTTAAGTACTCGCTATACAAGGAAAAAATTTAAACATTTGCATTTAAACTTCAGCTATATTAGAAAAGATGTAGCTTAATCAGAATGTATGAGCTATGGTATCAGCAAATGTATATAAATTGGTAAAAAGTACTCGTTGAGCATTAAATTCTTTCATAAACACGCATATTTGGGAAGATGCAGAATAAAATTGAAACGAGAGTGCGAAGTGATAAGCCACGGCAGTACAAATTTTCAGAAATTAAAAAAATACAAAGTCTATCGAAAAGATTTTTTACAGCGATAAAATCTCATTTTTAATATAAGTTTTTCCACAACTCCTTGGCAACTGGATCTGATCAGAAAAAAATTTGAATGTCTGACGAATTTTCGCAATGTCATCAAGTTTTTCGCGTTAATGAAAATGTTTGCACAACGCTTCTTCTGTTTCTAGCGTTTTCACTATAATATTCACTACCTCTTTAAATGTATCTGTAACCTGCTTGGCTCTGCCACCAGCAGGTGGTATTGAAAACGTAATGCTTTTTCTATGCAAGAGAATTCTGGTCAAATTCCTCTTAATATAGACGAATAGTATCGAACATTTTGCATTGTAAATTTTTTATTTTTTATTTTATAGAGTTATTTTAGAATTACGGTTTAGAATTTTGAAAATTTAATTCATTTCTTCCTACGAATGTTTAATAAATTAAAAGCGCGATATATTTGTAGAAAATTTTAAAATTGGTAGGTACGTAAAGTTAAGTTGGTTGGTAGGTTTGTCGAAAAATTCACCAGTTGGCAAAAAGTAAGGAATTGAATGGATAAAATACATTTTGGTAAATCACGGAATAAACTAAAATACAGTGAATATGGACGAAACTAATTTATTTAAAACACTGATTATGGTTGAAAGGGTTTTTAAATTAGCATAAGTGTTTAAATTTGTTGATACTAGTGTCAAAAAGTGATGCAGAAAGCCTTTTAATTAAGGTGTAGTTGGCAAAATAGCAATTGGGACGAGCAAGGAGTTGTTCTATTAATTTAAAAATTATCTCTAGTTGGCGCGTTAGCCTCCGATATATTTGTCCCTCACAATTACCTGTGTATAGTTTTTACTCCACCATATCTGAACCATTGCGCCTTTTTCAAATCTTTCTCCAGCCGCATCATCTGCACGAAAAGTAATAAAATTGACACCAGAACTATGTCGGTACCTTTCGACTTTCTCTTAAATGAAACTGGACAATATTCAGTTTGCCAAATTAATGTACAGATTACTATGAAGAGAAAACATTTAACAGAAAAATGTAATTATTTTTCTATTAAAACCTCAAACAGATATTACAAATTTACTACTTTTAATTTCTTATAAAAATTTTAAAATAATATTTAGACATATTTCAGAATAAAAATTACTGTTCTCTTTCAGAGAAGACGAAATTGCAGTTTACAATTGCACTTCAGGTTCCATAAATCCTTTCACTACACAACAGTTTTTCAAATGCTTAAATGCGAATTATTGGAAATATCCCTCGGAGAACACATTTTTATATCCAACAAATATACCCAAGAAGAGTTATTATTGGAATCGTGTATGCATTATGACGCAACATCAACTTCCTGCAATTCTAGCCGATGTATTACAAGTTGCTATTGGCAGGAAACCAAAGTATGTTCTTTGAAATGTGCTTACGTATTCTATGGCATGTTAAATGATATTCGCATTGTTTGCAATTTAGGATGATGAAAGTCTACGATAAAGTTCATAATAACTTAAGTTTGCTGGAATATTTTTGTACTAGAGATTGGAAGTTTAGTACTAGAAACGTGCGGCAATTGCTGGAAAGGATGTCGACGAAAGATAAACAGGTAGGATGAATTTCATTTAAAGTAGGCAGTATCTTATGACAAGTACAATTGACTATCTACAAATGATAGTGTCGGGGATAAAGAGGAATTTTGGACTCAGCGAAATATTGTGTTACGCGAAGTACCATCGTCTAATGAGATATTAATATTTAAATATGTTTAAAATCCGCACGACGTTAACAGGTATGGAAATTTAAATATGTAACATGTGGAAAGGTAATGCACTAAGTTACGTGACCTGCGTAATCAACCAGTCATCATGCGTTACATTGAGTGTTGAACACAAGATTGTGTTATTAATTAAACGCTTTTCTTTTTCCATCTTTATTCGTTTGAATAAAGATAGAAAAAGCCAAGTGTTGAATTAATAAGACAATCTTGTGTTCAACACTCAATAAATAGTAAAACACGGTTTCAGAAAACAAATCACATACGTTACATATTTTTCGATTTATTTATTTATAACATTTAGAAATCGTGGTATTTTTGAAACCGTGCCAGTAATTTTTCGTAATTCGAACACAAATCAATTATTGTATTTATTTAGACACTTGGAAAATCTCATCATTAAATTTCATTCAGTTTATTTTACTCAGAAATCGTTTGTAACATCTAGTTAATAATTTGATACTGGTTTCGGATGAAGTGAATTCTCGTTTACATCGTTATTTCTAAGAATATCCTTTATTAATTTCTTATTAAATAAGAATATTAGAGATCCTGTTATACATCTTCCCGAAATCTATAAATAGTTTAAATAAATCCGTATAAATTTCCACTAGTCGATTAATCACAAATATTCATTCTATTTTTCATCTGTATACAATAAATTCAAATAAACTACTTTCTAAACTAGTCGTTCTTTCAACTTCAACATCTCCCAAGTGAAAGGCGAAGATGAAAAACAAGAAGAGAAGAGTATGTGATAAACTCTGATCTCTCGTCGTCTGGTCTAAAACTTGCTTTTATTTTTCCAAATTATGATCTTATATGAATATCAAATTTTAGGCCGAACGAGCCGAGCGGTCGAAGTGGCAGCCTACAGCTCTGGAGACTCGGAATCGAATCCGGACAATATTGAAAAGTTCCCAGGAATTATTCGGAGGATGGTCATTCCGAATGCGTCGGATCCCGTCTCTTATAGCCCAGCCGCTTCATTGTGAGCCTGGCCGAACTCGTAATGGGCTGGCTACAAGTCGACAACGTTGGCAATACGATAAACAAATCAAACACTTGCTATTTTAGTCTTCATTTTTAACTACTAGAAATTAGGAAAAAAGCGGTTAGTCGTAGCGGCATAAATTAGAATTAGTAATCGCTCTGGAACTAGAGCAGTGGTTCTTAACCTATCTCGAGTGTTTCACGAAAGAAAAAATTTTAAAGTATTTATTTCCATTGTTATATTCGTAGACAATTTCATAATACTATTTTATTCAACATGTAAAAGTTTATTAGTTTATTGCTTCTTTGTTTCCTGAGAATAGTAAACATGGAATAGCTTATCAAGTTTTGGATGTATTGATGCTAATGCTCAGTGTAATAAAAAGTATAACTATATTTTAATTTAAATAAAATAATTAATTTTCGTTTAACCAATAAAACATTTCGGTAGAAAATTTCGAATTGAAATACCGTGACTTTCGTATGTAGTTATAAACGTGGAGCAAAAAGCAAACATTCTTAACCAAGAAATATTTGCGTGGAATGAAGAATTTGAGTAACATATAACACAGTTTGTACGCATATATTGAGTAGTAACACAGTGCAAGTATTGATTATATGTGTACTCTGTTCTCTGGTAACTCAGCACGTCTGACCAGACACTTTGATGATGTAGCGTATTTCATAGTTCCATGTCCGAAAATACTTCAAGCTGTCCGAAACAAAATAAAAAACGTTAAAAAGACACCCACATACCATCATTCTTCGACTTTATTCGTTCCGTTTTTTAAAGTTTTTATTTTTTTATTCATTCACTTGATTCGTAAATATTAAACAGTGGAAAATTAATATAGAACTCAGTGCTGAAGTAGGTTTATTGGAAACAATGCGTATTTGGTGTCATGTCAGGCACAGAAATACATTTGGATAAATACCATTTATACTAAATCACATCGATCCGCTTACAGATGAAGTGATTTTTTATGATAACACGAACCACTTTGAATCTTTTTTGTCAAAAAATTCAGAAGTTAATGTTAAATGTTAAGAAGGTAAATTTCACAAAATAAAGACGATAAGAGAAAACTGCTCGTATTCATTGAAAAATGTCCATTATCAAATATTGCTGTTTACGTAAAATACTTCTTATAATTTGTGTTCATATCTCAACATTACCTTAATATATTTTACAAATAAAACACTTGTGTTATAACAACATTTCACAGTTATTGTTATTTTTAATTTATTGTATTATAGTGACTTACTGGTGTCGATAATACCGATCATTACGTGTATTTTCTACATTTATTTTAGAAAATAATTAAAGTTGAAATTTTAAAGCACATTGCATCAAAACGCCATTAACCATTTACATAATAATGAATTTCTTTCATTTATTTACATCGGACATTTTAATAACGAAAAGAAAAGACGAATGTAAAAGATGAAAGCAAAAAATTACACTATTTGCCAATAAAATCGCAACACCACGGAGGCGGCAGCAACAAACGTGAGAATTGCATAAAAGATACAGTATTGTTGGGTAAGGCAAACGATTAGCAATTGAACGCATGCTTAACTGTTATTACTGCCAGAAGCGGCTACTCTGGGTACTGATTTGATCTCGCTCTTTAACTCAAAATTATCTGCCAATATAATTATGTCTTTTACCCACATTATATCGTAAGTGTACAGTACAATAAATACGACTTTGCTATTTGCTTTCGTTCCCGGTGTAGCATTTTTAATGTCCAGCAATGTATAATCTGTTATTGCCATTTCTGTGAACTAATAACAAATTTGATAATTATAAGTATTTTGGACGCATTTTATTTTTATAGAAGCTGGTTGAATCTGACAGGTTCGAGTAGGGAATTTATCGAGATGCGACAACGGCACTAATTCAACAACAAAAATATATGCGAAATTTAGTTGTGTCGAATGTAAAAATACAATACTTATAGAATACGAAAAATAACAGAAATTATATTTCAGTGTTTCGACTTTGACATCTCAAGACTCAATTGGGACCGTTACATGGAAGATTACTTTCTGGGCATCAGAAGATTTGTTTTGAAGGAAGATGACTCCACCATCGCTCGAAGCAGAAAACTAATATTAATGTATGTTTTACATTCTTCCGTTTCTAAATAATACAGTATCTAACGCAATGTTATCTCTTTTACAGGAAATATTATATTATTTTACTCGCAAAATGTGTATTGCTTTTCGGATTTCTTTACATCCTGAGTTTCTATTCATTCTAATTTTTCCTAGATAAAGTTTATTGGTTTTTTAAAGTTAAAAGCTATTATATCCTAGTATTCATGTATCATTTATTACTCTGTCACGATATAAACCATAGAATATACTGAGAAAATGTGGTTATCGATGTATTAGAAAAAAGTGATGTCTAAATTTTTGTGTCTAATTAAAACCTTCAAATCGTTGTGAAATCTTTAGTATTTCTTATATGATAAATAAAGCAACTACTATTCAACTGCATATAAATTCATATGAAATTCGTTGTATAACAAATGAAGAACAAATTGAAGTTCGGAAATGAGCTTTTCACACTAGTTAATTATATTATGTTATTCATTAATTTTCATAAAAATAAAGCAAGTTTGTTCATTATCATAATGCCAAAGTTCCTTCATCCACATAACAAAATCATATTCGCTTTTTCATTATCACGGAAGTAATTTTACATTGAGGGAAAACTACGACTTCAATTAAAATTACGATTAAGCAGAAATAAAAATAAGCTTCTTCTAACTGTTGCGTAGCTTATTTCTAAGTGTCTTAGTTATTCCAGAAAGCTTATTTTTCATTAGATAATTTTAAGTGCGGGAAGGCGTAAACTTCGTGAATTGTTCATCAAATGAAGAAACATGATTTAATTAAGTAAATTTTAAAACAGAATAAAACAAATTCGGTAATTACAAAGAAAAAATTATAATACAGCATTAGGAGAAATTCTGTGCAATGATGAATAAAACCACCATAAAATGTAACTTTTTGTTAGTACAAGGACCTAGTTCATTTGTTGTAGTTTGTTTTAACGCACTTAATTTTCCTAGCAAGAGAAGTTTATGTTCTGAAAAACTACCAAAATGTTTGAATCAACCCAAATTTTGATTACAAAATTGTGAGCTTTGAGTGATTTGTACGCTTCCATGTGATTAAAATTGGGTTAAGATAAAGTAGTGTACGATGTAATCATATCTTATGTTCTATCTTCGGCAATGAATTGCGATCCTCTATGAACGAATTGGAGTTATTTTCGTACGGATCAACTCCACCACAAATAAAAATTATTACTTTTGTACCAGTCAGAGTCATGACCTGTAACAGTTTTTAAATAACCTGCTAAAAATTTTTTTATCTTCTATGCGTGATAAATGTTCAGACACAAGCCTAAATTATAGCACCTCCACAAACAGCGTGTCACAAATATGGCGCAGAAGACAGATCTTGTAGTAGAGAAAACATATACAAAACTGGCATGAACGACATTTCACATGACGATTCGGTCACATAAGTTCATGTTCATGCAAGTTCTCTATATGTTTTCCACTTCAAATTAGTGCTGGAGTGTGTTAAGCCCCTGTACATCATACCTTTCCGATAGCAATGGAGTCATTGCAGTCATCCATTTAACTCTTTGCAGAGGAAAAGATTTCAATTGAAATAACGCGACTTCTGGTATTCAACAGAAGTTATGTGTAGTCCATCAGAGCCAACTGCCACTTTTTTTTCCATATCTGGACTCTGCTTTCATCTATGTAACTACGATCTCGTGATTAAGGAAGGACGGATGGACAAACAGAAAGACAACAGTGAAAATTTATAAATCTAAAATTTTTTCAAATTGCAGCACAATTAACAATTAAGTACAGGAACTTAACGTGAATTACAACACTTTCTGGACGGCAACTTAATTTCGAAATATCAAAAACTAAATAAAAAGTTCATAGAGGATTTTCAAATTAGCATTTTTAGTGGCATATTTTAAAATATCAGAAAATAGACTACAGTTAAATTGATAATTCACAAAATATATTGCTTCGTGTTCTTGCAGATATTTGTAAAGTTATCGATGGTAAGTTACGCAAATTAAATAAATTTTAACAAGAAACTAACAAATGAAACTGAAAATTATGTAAAATTACTGATGTAGTCTTCCAAAATACAGTATACCCCAAAACATATCGAACCTATATCACTTATGCAGCCATAGTTTTCTGTGCGTTGACCCTATATAATAAAAATTGTCTTTCAGCTTAATCATATATGTGCCAAACATATGCATTTGTTTATGTTCATCTGTCTGTTCGGAGTAATTGCATGATAAAAGGGAAATGTTTAATCAGCACAACATACTTTATATTATCTCAACATAGACTGTTTTTTGAACTTTTGAGTTTATCATCATCCTATCTATGTGTAAAAGTTGAATTAACCTTAATTTTACTTTTCAGACTTAATTTTTTTTATTAATTAAATCCAACAATAACTTTTGAAGAAAATATTATGTACGTTTTACAAGTTGTAAAATTGTGTTGTATGTCAAAACCATTTCAAAATTGACACAAATAAAACATTGAGAAAGAGTCAAATTAGAACTTTGTTGGACCACATTTGTCCTGAATCACATGAAAAAGTCGACTTTGCATACTTTTAATTAATTTATCAATGATATTTTGCCCAATTTCTGACCAAACCTTAAATAATTCTTCTCTGTACAATGATAAAGATCTTCTATGGATAAGAGGAATACAGCAGTCTAATTCGTCCCACAGATGTTCTGTTATTAAATTTAAGTTATTAATTAATACTGGTGACTGCGGTGGCGATTCAAAAACTTTGATATCATTTTTATTGAAATATTTTCTGAGAAGCAGTGCTGTACGTTTGGGATCATTGTCTTGTTGAAAGACAAATTCATGTTCAATCCCCGTTTTCCTTGCTGCTGCCACTAAATTGTCTTCAAGTATCTGTTTGTAATCTACTGATTTCATGCGATCGTGAATTTCAATATTTCAATATTTATAGGGGGATAGGAGGCATTACTCAGTGGTATATCCTCAAAGAGATGAAAAGAAGTGAGAAGGGTTAGTTGGAGGGAAAGTCTGTTGTGGCAGGGCCGAAAGTGGGTGGAAAGCGGAAGAGAGGTGAGAAGTGGAAGGGGAGGTCAAGAGCCGCACCGGGAACATTATTTAAAACATAAACAGGTTACATATGGAAATAATATTTACAAAAGAAAACAAGAGAGGCACAGATTTTTAGGTCCGTACATAAAAACGCGACTATAAGTTCCTTAACACAAAGTAGACATTACCTGGCTTAGTACCATAAAATTAACATTCTTGATATCAAAATGGTGAATATTATAATTAGGTTTACAGGAAATACTGCTTGGCGGATAGAGTTGTAACTCAAATACACACAAGTAGCTATACCTAATACACATGTTGAACTAGATGACGATGTTCTTACTCATTGTCGTGTTGCAGGTCCAGAGCCTTTGTTGACTCGACAAAGTTTATAAGTGCGTTAAAGATCTTCTGATTTCTAACTAAGACGTTGTGGTCGCAAGGCCAGTTGTATCCCTCCTGTAACACTGTCCTGAGTAGATTCGTCCTATGTTGAGTGTATTGGTTGCAGTCGAATATGAGATGCTGTGCGTCTTGTTGCGAAGTCCCATTGCACTGACAATGCGGGGAGTTCCTGTGCCCAAATCTGTTTAGGTAGGCCAGGAAATTCCCGTGGTTGGTGAACAATTGAGTAGTTCTAAAGTTAATGCTGAGGTGTTGAAGCTGTAGTCGCTGTGCGATGTCTGGGAAGAAGCTGAAGGTTGTCCTTCCTGTCTCTTCCTCTTCCCAGTTGTGCTGCCAAATATTGATCATAGTGTTCCAGATGAGTTTCTTGGTTGCCACCAACGGAATGTCTTCGAAGGCAATGTCGTTAGTACTCGAGGAGACCTCTCTAGCAAGGCGATCAGCCTCCTCGTTACCAGTGTCACCAGAATGGGCCCGTGTCCACATGAAATTTATGTGACTGGTGCTACCAGTTAGCTCCTGAATGATCATCTGTTGAATGTTGCCATCCAGCTTACCACTGGATATGCTTTGAAGAGCAGTTCTACTGTCCGAGCAGATATAGATGTTTTTGCCCTTGAGCTTAGTACTCGTATTAATGTAATTGAGGGCTCTGTAAATGGCATACAGTTCAGCCTGAGTGATGGAGCAGAATCCTGCCAGGCAGTGAGATTCTTTGTGCATGAACTGATTATTTCGGGTATTATAGTGGACCAGACCAGCTCCCACTCCAGTCTTAAATTTAGAACCGTCCGTGTAGACAATATTATATGGAAGGGAACCCTCTGCCTGGGAACCTATTGAGACCTCTGGTAGATGAGCAGGGTGATGCAGTGGTGAGTAGGTGGTCTGAAAAGTGGTGTTGAGTCTATGGTGAAACAGGTGGTCCATTTCCAGATTGGGTAAGCTTCCTATGTCCAGGTATGCTAGAAGTTCTTTCTGTTTCCCCGTAGGTATGATGAGGTGAGTCAGCCTCCAGAGGATCCTATTGGCCTGAGCCTTAAGACTCATTGGTGGTATCCCAGTCAGGACTTGGAGAGCTGCCGTAGGAGCCGTTTTGTATGCCCCCGATATCCGAAGAAGGCATACACGTTAAGAGCCCTCCTGATGTGGACCTTTGAAGCAGCTGCTCCCCAGATTGGGGCACCGTACAAGATTGTAGGCACTATGACCTGTCTATAGATATTTACGAGAATGTCTCTGTTGACCCCCCAGCTCTTACCGGCCATGTAACTGAGGAGATTAGCCAGTTTGAGGGCCTTCCCACATACATAGTCCACATGTGGGTTCCACTTAAGTCCCTGATCGATAATTAAGCCCAAGTACTTCATTTCTGTGGTATGAGGGATCCTTATGTTCCCAATTTTAAGAAAGGTGGCTTGCAGAGTTGCTGGCCCTTCGACATCTGCATACAGACAGATTTCTGCATGTTGATAATAAGTTTATTTTTGCTGCTCCACTCGTGGATATGTGTAAGAAGCTTGTTCGCCTCAGCCTGGAGTTTTTCGCCATTTCCACCAGATACCATGACCAGGGTATCATCCGCATACCCTTGTATTGCCCAGGTTGCCGTGATGTCGTTGGGATTGATACGCAGAAGCCCATCATACATGATGTTCCACAGTCCCAGGGGATGTCCACTGGCCCTGACCGAGAGCCCTGTGGACATCCCCGGGACATCTCCTGCGTAATGAGTTGCGATCGTAAATTTGAGCAATATTTCCCATTCCGATTGTGAATGAAACTAAATTTTTGGGTATTTTGTTCGATCATAAACTAACGTTTTTGCCATACTTTCGCATGAACCCTGAAAAAACCCCAAACTATGTAAGGTGTGTTTTA